GACTTGTGTTAAGAATGGCTTTTTTTTTGAGTCATTAATTAATTTACTTATTTTTAAGAAATAATTTTTTTTGGTATAACAATTAAAGATTATTTAGTTTTTGAATTAATACTTTGATGAATTATTTTAAGTTTTTTAAACGATAATGTTATTTTGATCGAAAAACTTAAATGTATTGATTGAAAATAATATAGCTCTTAAGCCAAGAAAATCTAAATCAAGACAAGAAATTCTTAGAGCAAGATAATCATTTGTCTTCCCAAATAAATTCTTAGATCAAGAAAATATCTCGTTCCGTAACTCCTATTCTTTCCCGCCACAGCATTATTTATATTTGTTAAAAAATGTGGAACGCTTCACGATTTTGCGTGTCATCCGTGAAGTGACGAAAGAAAAGTGAAGCGTTCCACTTTTTAACAAATATAAATAATGCTGTGAAGCGGGAAAGAATAGGAGTTACGGATAATTATTACGTAAAGCGTTCCAAAATTCACGTAACCGGATATTTTGGTAGGAAAGGATTGAGAAAGGATTGTGGAGAGGATCATCTTAATGTGAGTATATAGAATATGTGAGAAAAAATTATTAGATAGCTTGGACTGGGATTTGAACCCAGAACCTTCCGAAGACATGTCGGCTACTCTACCATTTGAGCTATCCGGTCTATACTAAATTTCCTTTCACTTCTTCTATATACATTAAGCCACACCGTCCATCTTACGGCTAGCATTTTTAACAAATATAAATAATGCTGTGAAGCGGGAAAGAATAGGAGTTACGGATAATTTATTACGTGAAGCGTTCCAACCCAGTTGATTATAATCAAAATTTGTCAGTGATTGAGGTAAGTAAGTTTGATATTTGTAAATATTAATATTATTTTTAAAAAATATTATCAAAAGTTAAATAATAAAATATGTTTATTTATTCACAGCACTAAATGCTATATTGAAGAAAAAAAATAATTTCACATATGAAATTCAGCAATGTATACATAATTATATTAGTTCTCAAGAATCCTCATCAAAGACTTGTTAGCATTGACTTGACTAATTGCTGTAAAAATATTCTGTGTAAATTTTGGTATTTGTGATGAACCTGTTGAACTCGTGAAAATAATCATTTACACGCAAGTAATTTATCATGTTTTATTGAATTAATTTTTATTACCATTCTGTTTTACAATATATTCTACATTTCATTCTTTTTCCAGTAAATACATAATCGATGCCAAAAATAGATCAACAGTGGTTACAAAATTTCAATTCAATAATGATGTTCAAGAAAATTTTATATTTATTAACTTGGTATTGTAAAAGCCGTGAATTGTTCAGTAATTTTTTGGTCAAATTAAATTATTTATTAGATGAAATTGTGAATCAATATAAAGAATCTGACAGTGAACTATGTGGTCGAATATAAAAAGTGGATAAAAGTTATAAAATTTATTATTTTAATCTATTTGTTTTTTCCGTGAGAAATTTTATTTTTTTATATGAATAATTGTTAACTAGTGTGATAAATGTAAAAGTGAATCATTTCAGAATCTTTGGTGTGTAAAAGTGAATTGGAAACTCAAGATATTAAAAAGTTCCAAGAAGACTTAGAGATCTTCATCTTAATTTTTTTTAATAATATCCATTAATAAAATTTAACATGATGACCCTGAAGTTAGCCGACATCCGCCATTAAAAAAAAAACCTGTAGTTTAAAAAAATAATTTTTTTTCCAAATTTAAAAAAAATACTCGTCTAGATTTTCGAATTTTTAAAACGAGTATTTTTTTCAAAAGATCAAAGAATAAATATTTGAGTCATAATTTGAAATAACATTTTATGATTAAGTATTTTTCATTTAAAAATTTTTACAAATTCAATTACTTTTTGTTTTATATTTATAACATTTCCAAATCTAGACGAGTATTTTTTTTATTTTTAACTTTTCTAATTTTTCTAAAATTCACCGGAACTCGCTATTTTTTTTTTAATGTCTTGCAAATTTTAAAAAAACAAAAATCATGAAATTAAAAAAAATATTCGTGTAAATTTTTCAATTTTCTGAACGAGTATTTTTTTTCATATTCATAACTTTTTCATTTGAATAATATATATTTATACACTAGTCACAAAAATTTAGGGATACAAAAAATTATAAATTTTTGAGTGATTTTGAACGAGTTGTAACCCCGATGAAAATGATCGTACAGTAAAAAAAAGACCATTCGGCAGCCGAAATGGAAGTAAATTTCATCATAAATAGAAAAAAATATAACGAGAATTGTATACAAAACTAGAGCTTTTAACTTCATTGCAATTGACAAAAATATATATCGACGGAAAAATACTAAAACCAGTGCAATAACAAATTTCATAATAAGCATAGCGGAATAGGACATAATTTTGAGACTACATATATGATATGGTACTCAAATTGAAGCTTATTTAAAGAGCTTTCAGCTGCAATTTACAGAGTTTCAATAAGTTATACCATTTAAAAGTTATACGAGTAAGAAAGTGAAAAAATATGAATTTTTATGATTTTCAAAATTCTGAAATCCTGGCATTTCAAAAAAATTTTACTTAATTTTAAATTGGTAGGAAAGCATTGAGAAAGGATTATGGAGAGGAACTTCTTAATGTGAGTGTATAGAATATGTGAGAAAAAATTATTAGATAGCTCGGACTGGGATTCGAACCCAGAACCTTCCGAAGACATGTCGGCTACTCTACCATTTGAGCTATCCGGTCTATACTAAATTTCCTTTCACTTATTCTATATACATTAAGCCACACCGTCCATCTTACGGCTAGCATTTTTAACAAATATAAATAATGCTGTGAAGCGGGAAAGAATAGGAGTTACGGATAATTATTACGTGAATGGATTTATTTATTTTACATATAAATGTAAAATAAGTATGTTGAGTTTGGTAGAGATCCGTTGTAAATTGGCGACGCTATCGTCGTGACAAGCCGCGTTATAT